ACTTTCGCAAGGCACTGTAGGCAGAGCTGGATCAGAGTGGAGCAGGTAGGCCGAGCTGAAGCAGGATGACTGGCAGTCAGAACAAAGCAGGTTTACTGGGCTGAATCTGGTAAACAAGCAACGCTGGAGTGAGGTTGAAGTGGAGCAAGCAAGCTGACCGGAGGCTGGTAGGCTGGCAGTACTAGAGTGAAGCTAGAGCGGAGCAGGTAAGTTGGGTTGAAGTCAGGCAGGCCAGACAGAGCCGGTGTGGAGCAGGAGAGGCAGAGCTGGAATGAAACCGGGCTGGCTGCGAAGGAGTAAGGTAGATGGAGATGTGTAGGATTTAGCTGGCAGAGCAGGAGTAGGCCATGTCGGAGTTGCACTGATTGACTGAGCAGAAAGGGAGCAGAGCTGACTTGGCAGCAGAAGTAGGCGCCCCCCTCTACCCACCATGATTTAAGGACTGGAATGGTGGGTGCAGGAACACTAAGCGGAAGGAAGGAGGCTGAGAATTAGTGAGTGTCAGAGCCACTCACTGGGGTACAGGAACTGTGGTGATGGTGCTGACCCACCCACGAATGAAAATAGTGGTGATGTTGCGCTGTTCAGGAACTAGGATAGTTGTGGCATCGCCCCACTCAGGAACAGGAACAGCGGTGGCGTCGAGCTGTACAGGAACTGGAGTGGAGGCGATGTCAACCCACTTAGGAACAGGGAGGGCAATGCCGTCGACCCACTGGGAAAGAGGATCAGTGGCGGCAAAGGTGATGATGATTGTGAACTGGGGTAAATCTGAGGCGAGGTGACAGGAAAACCTAACAAAATAAAAGCACAAAACAGGAAGCAAGAACAAAACCATGACAATAATATTTAATCATATTTTTTGTCAGGTTGTTTAAGGTTTTTCCCATTTTGAAATCTGTTTTTGTCTACATCTCTGTGTGTACCTGCAGTACTCCCTGTGTAATGAGCCACTCATCGAGCTGTCCAATCCTGGAGCTAGTGGCTCGGTCTTTTATGTCACGAAGGATGATGAGTTCATCATCAAGACTGTGATGCACAAGGAGGCTGAATTCTTACAGAAACTGCTGCCAGGATACTACATGGTAAAGAAAGATTGATTGTGTGGGTGTGTGTACTAACAGCATGTAAGTGGGAATGTAAACAAGACACTCATTGACAGCATATCTAAAATGTGAATCGTTTTAAAAACTGTACTAAGCAGAGTAGGCCATTTTACTTTTTTTTTTTTTTTTAACTCCGTGGCAGAGCGTTATGTCAGAGGTGGATGAAATATATCAAATCAGCTGCCTCTGCATTTCAGCTGGATTGACGTCTTTTTTTTTTTTTTAATGAG